TTTGAGGCACAAGGGTATAGTGACTCAAACTTAAAAGATGGGCATATGCTGTCGCGTACTTTTTTATAGAACTTTTAAAGGGGAACAATTCCGTCATACATAATTTTGTGTAACTTTAATGATTTACGCAGCGCACGCAACGGAATCTCCCAAATGGAATATTTTTACCCGTTTTTGCAACATTTTAAATCCATACTCCGCTCCTACTGGTTGCAGCGTAATATTATATAGACTTAAGCCTTCCTCAATAAATTCACTATGTAATACATTAATATGTTTTCAAATCGGACCATTAGTTCCTGAGAATTGCGCGTGCATCCAAAAAATGGTGCATTCGGTACAACAAAATTTTCACTATCAGTTCAATAAATTTTCTTGGTAGGTTTATAGGCAATTATATAAAGAAATTCATTGTGTATTATACAAGACTGAGAACAAAAACTATAATAGGCTCTTGCCGGGGCCGTAAATTTATATAACTGACATGATATAAAATTTACACTCAATTGTACATAAAATTAGGCATTAATCCAAACACAAACAAACGCTTCTCATCTAAGAGTATGATCACAATAAAAAAAATATTACTGTAAGAACAGGTAGCGAAAAGTTAACATTGATATTCTTGCAGTAAGGTTCAGCTACACAAGTTTTCAAAAGATTCAAATCTATCTAAATCAGCGACAAAATTATAAAAAGATTTTATTTTGACCACAAAAACCCAGTAAGCTAAGCCATTGTTCTCGGATGGGACAAAAAAATCATAGTTCTTAATTGACTTATGAGCCCTTTCACATTTTTTGCAAAAAATCGTAATTTTTGAGCTCCTCGTTTACCCCTTTAGAAAAGATTTTGACTATTTCTAATATAAGTTAACAGTAGATTTATTTTTCCTATTGTAAGTTAATGTAGAATATTTGTAAAAACTATTTTCATATTTTTGTACTGATCGTTCTACCGCAGCTAGTTTACGGAAAAAACAATAATATTCAAACACCTGAATCTCTAAATAATGTTCAATAAATTAGATCAAATTAATCACTATGACATCAGAAATATGTTTTAATTGTAATATAATGTATTAGAATTTTGATTTTCCATCTCATTAATTATCAAAAAAAATCATCTAACCTCCGTGAGTTTTCCCAAAAAACAATGAAAGTTTACCTCTTAATTTGATATTGAATTAAATAGAATTACTATCCAAACCTTTCATAAAACTAATCTGCCATCATTGAACTACTGAAATATGTATATATTTTTATAATTAGTTCATTAATAATTATTTTATAAGACTCGAAACATCACCCGTAAAATGCAATATATACTAGTGCAAATCTACCTACGCGCCGATCAGTACGGCAGCGGCGCAATTTTGTAAAAGGGCTCTTAAGTAAGTTTAATTGTTGGATAATAATATGCAACCCAACAAGAAAAAAGACAAACAGTTAATGTGATTCAACGTAAAGTATGGGATGCTTATGAGTGTTGTTGTACTTGAGAGCTAGGCCCATAGGTAACTTGACAGGAAAGAACTATTTATAAAGTTCATTAAATCATTATTAAGAATAAGAACACACGTTCTAATATACATAACGTTAACTATCTATCAACATTTGTAATGCTGCCGTCCTTAAGGATAGTTCACACTGACTAATATGCTGTACTCACAGTAACTCATCTCACTCATTAAAATGACTCAAGTCGTTATTTACATCGAGCGATCGAACTTTCATCACTTATTATAATTAACAACAACGCTAACCGCATATTTTTGTTATCAAGCCATGTAATTATAACAACCACGGAACAATTACAGATATAACTTTACATTTTAATATCATAGTAAATGCTGATTCAATTGTATCGCAAATTGATATAATTAAAAAAAATTGCAAAAGCAAACACGTAAATTGATTGTTTTTTCAACTATTTTTGTGCCCAAATTGTGTTCACAAGTGATTGAAGAATCAACACGATTTGTAACAAACGTTGTTCAAGTTAAGGCCTTAAAAGCATCACAATACCATGTAATCTAAATAAAAAAAAAACAAACTCAACTAGTTATCAGAAAAAATAACAACTTAAATCACTCATTTATTACCCCGATGCAATTGATTACAATCATAATAAATTTTACAGCTACTTAAATCTAATGAATGTTATGATATCTTATCGATATTATGTTTTCTTTGCAATAACATCACACACTATATTGATTGCCTTGAAATGTTTCAAAGTACATACTGCACTACCATAAAATATTCTTAAAATTTTATGGTCCTAGGTAATTTATATATATCACTTTCTTTCATCATTAAACTGATCAACTTTTTAAGAAAATTTCTATCATTAAATATTAAATGGTCGCCAATATAATAATGTAATGTGTAAATATGTTTTTGATCTTTGGTTGCATCCTTTCGGAAAGTTGTTCAGTTTTATGATTAGAAGAATTATGGTTTAAAGAGGTAAGAGATAAGACTACAGATATGAAATTCATGTCCTTATTGTTGCAAAATATTCATACTTAACATAAGATATGCAATGAGGAATTTGTGAAAAAAAAAATGCATTAATATTTTTCTAAATGTTGCCCCTAAAAGAATAAAAATAGAACCATTTTATAAACAAAGCTAAGTAGGTATAATTTTGTCCCTTCAAGTCCTATGCAAAATGTACTTTTTTAATTAATTTTGTTTAAGTAGATAGTAAATTGTGCTTGTATTATTTATAGTTATGGTCCTGGTTTTGAAAAATATATCATAAAAAGAAATTCATCATACAGAGAATTCATAAAAAAATTGTTACAGAATTTCATAGCTAACTAATGAATGGTTAATTTATTATTTTGAAGTATCAGCTACTTTTCCATTGAAAAAGGCACGCACTTGGACAAAAACAAGGAACTTGGTCGGATCTCATTATAAAATGAATCACGTCGCTAAACAATTAGCAAACGAACTGTTTCCTTAAATTGAATAGTAATTTCTATTGACTCATAATTAACGTTAGGAGGGGTATTCATTATTTGTAACAATAGCTTAATTTTGAACATCCTTCTACACTATGATTTTAAAAGAATCCAACCATTACACAAGCTACTGCTACAATATCATTTTTATATATTATATACGACACCCATTATTTATAATTAAAAAAAAACCTTTATTTTTTAAATTCTTAGTTTTATTTTTGATTAAAAGCTTTCTATTGTAAAGTGACTTATTAATAACCCTACTAAAATTGTATTGAAATGTAAATCTCTGTATTTTTTCTGACTTATTTATATGTTGAAACTAAATAATTAGGTAAGCCCTTAACATCGAATTGAATAAGCCTAGGCACTTGTGGCAAATTATGTTTTGTCATGTTCAATATTTCCACAAAACTTACGGTATTGTAATAATATTAAAACATATGGGCAGGGGGTAACACAATAAACATTTAGTTATAAAGTACTTAAACGTCTAATAATGTTCCTATTTAAATGTCATATTATTTTCGACATTACGTATGGCTATTAGGGCCATTAGCAGTCCAATGCCGGTTGAAAATTTCGTGGCCAATATTTCCGGCCCCGATTCCAATTATTAAGTAACAATGAGCAGACAGAACAGAACAGTTAAATAATTTCTCAACGCCATATCTGGACAGGACCATAAACGGTCGAAATCCTCAATTCGTTTCCAATAAATTTGTTTTTTTATTTGACTTTTGTTTGTTTTATTCAAAGCTAGACAATCTATTGGAATAAATGTGGCAGGGATTTAAGTTAGAATTTGTATTTTTTTATTGTCATGAGGGTTCAAATTGTTTTAGCTCAAGCACAGGACTTATGCTACTACTTACATACTGACTTATATGTCACAGCGCGCTTTGATTTACACATTCATAGGAAAACACATCACACGACCAGTTGGTATCGTTCACAGTATACCCTAAAAAGATTAGAGTGCCGGTATTCCCCAAAAACACATCATCGGATTGTCGGAATTTAAATGACGTTTGATTGCCCAGTCGTGTCGCTCGAAACGGAATGGGAAATTCAGCCCTTGATAAAAAGCAAGGGGAGCTATAATAATCCTTATACATTATATAAAAATAGAAAGCGATATGGCATATTGTTCAAAGGATCATTATTAAAAAAAAACTGAAAGTATAGCAATCATCATCAAACATAAAAAAAAAATATTCATAACTTAAAATAGTTATACGGAGAGGTAACCAAAACTTCGAACTTGTGAAGTTCAAACAAAACTCATAACTCACAGAACAGTACAGTCGAGGTCACGTTGTCACATATTAACAGCGTTTTTATTTTAGGAATAAAAAGGAATAAAACCGATGTTTATAATGCAAGTAACCTTGACTGTATGTACTAACAACTAACTGATCGTGTGTAATCTTTACAAAAATTTCATAGTAAGAATGTGCCATTAACCACTAAAATTAAAAGCAATTAGCACACTATCGATAATACTCGATATGTTGACACGAGGTAACGTAAACTATTAATCCTAAAAAATAAAAGTAAAGAAATTAAAATATAAAAAAATGTACTTCGCCACGCACTTTCTGTTAAGTGCAAAACCACTTATAACATTAATTGTGTTAGAGAATTAAGTAGCGAACAACACACAACCGCTGAATGTCAATCTAAAATTGAATTATTCGGCTATTGGAATTTTTCAAAATGTTCTTCCATTTCGAAAAGAAATATAAGAAAAAACAACATTCACATTTCCTAACAGTCAATCTTAGAATCGTACTCGTTATTATATTAGGATTATGGTCTAAAATTTTGATATTGGTTGGTCTTGAAATATTCCAGTATAAAACTAGCTGTACAGTAAAACTAATGGTAATAAAAACCAAAAAAAAAAACAAATTTCAATTTGCTACTAGTAGAAAAGTCCAAAACGTTAAAAAAACAGCTAGTGGACAATATTAAAGTGATCTAGCAGAATATTTCAAATGCCAACCAATTTTGACGCATGTTACCAGAAGTAGCTTACGAGTGACGAGAACATCTGGTACTGAAAGATGCTTGATGCTATAAAGAACATGTGCAGGATCAGATATCGAAGGTTGTCCTGCCTCACACGTCGAGTCACACAAGTGGTGGAGCCAGCGGGGAATTTCCCAGTGCGGTAAAACTCTTCAAGCATCTTGTCTTTCTCTATAAACCTGTCGTAGAGCCAATTTGTCATGCCTTCAGAGTCTGTTGGCACCTGCGAAAATAAAAAACTGATATTGAAAAAAAAAATATAATTTTTCGTTGATTCCTTGCTTCGGATTTCAAATAAATGTAAGACATGAAAATACAATTTGCCTACATATAAGATAAGTACTAAATTATTTATGAATACTTTCATACAGAAGTATCATGGGAACGTAGACAAACGAAATATACCTGTCTGTTATAGAGTATACAGATATTATGAAAGAAAATGTCTGGCTTCACGCTATATTAAGTATTCAGAATAAATTTGATACCTATAAAATAAATAGAAAATAATGTAAAGTACACTCTCCGTTTCTGGGGATGATTCTTCAATGAAGTTATAATATAGGGCCATTCCATGAATTCTTAAAGCAGCGGTCTAAGCAAGATGATTTTCTTTATTAAAAACAGCGATGTCTCGCTTTGATAACTATGCTTACTACGCTTTGAGAGTTCATGTTTATGAGTAGATAAAAGAAGATGACAAAGTTTCGAATAAGGTCACCCTTAGTAGCTACTAAAATTTATGTCAAACTTGAGACTTGAATATTTTTACACTATTATATACTTATACACAGTCAAGTCACAAGTACTGTCACACAGTCAAAACTTTTCTTTTAGAATGCTGGCCACAAAAAAGTTTATTGAATTCGAATTTAGAATTGTTCATGAAAATAAAAATGTATAATTTTTAGAATTTTACTCATTTTTAAATATGGAGTGGACGCTTAAGGAAGACCGTGTTGCAGTTATTGCGTTGCATCGTTGCGGTTACGCGCCAATTCAATTTTTTGACATACTGAAAAATTTGAATATTACCAAAAGATTCGTTTATCGTACCATCAAACGATACAATGAAGACTCTAGTGTAGATGGCAGATCAAGAAGTGGTCGCCCTCGGTCTGTTAGGACTCCAGCAGTGATAAAAGCTGAGAAGGCGCAAATTCAAAGAAATCCCAAACGTAAGCAGAAACTGTTGGCCCTTCAGATGGGATTAAGCAGAACCAGGGTGAAAAGGGTGTTAAATGAAGTCTTAGGGCTTCGGGCATATCGAAGAAAAACAGGACATCGTTTGAATGCTCGTCTAATGGACCTGAGACTGAAGAGATGCCGCGCTTTTTTGAAGCGGTACGCGGGGAAAAAATATCGGGAAATTCTTTTTTCGGATGAAAAAATTTTTACCGTAGAAGAGAGCTACAACAAACAAAATGAGGAGGTGTAAGCACACAGTAGTGAAGAAGCGAGCAACCGTATTCCGCGTGTCCAACGAGGTCATTTTCCATCCTCGCTCATGGTATGGTTGGGAGTTTCTTACTGGGGCTTAACAGAGGTACATTTTTGTGAGAAAGGTGTAAAAACGAATGCAGTTGTGTATCAAAATACAGTCCTGACGAACCTTGTGGAACCTGTTTCTCATACCATGTTCAATAACAGGCACTGGGTATTCCAACAAGATTCGGCTCCAGCTCATAGAGCGAAGAGCACACAAGACTGGCTGGCGGCGCGTGAAATTGATTTCATCCGGCACGAAGACTGGCCTTCTCCAGTCCAGATTTGAGTCCGTTAGATTACAAGATATGGCAATACTTGGAGGAAAAGGCGTGCTCAAAGCCTCATCACAATTTGGAGTCACTCAAGACATCCTTGATTAAGGCAGCCGCCGATATTGACATGGACCTCGTTCGTGTTGCGATAGACGACTGGCCGCGCAGATTGAAGGCCTGTATTCAAAATCACGGAGGTCATTTTAAATAAACTTTATTGTCATAAGAATCTATGTTTTGTTAAGTTCATTTTGATATATAAATGGTTACATAATGAATAAACTTGTTTCAATTATTTTATATTAAACATGTGACAGAATTTATGAACTGAGAATTAAAAATTTTAAATGTAGGTACATTTAAGTTAATAAAATTTTAATTCTTTTTATTACACGTTTATTTATGATAACGTAGACGAGTTCAGATTTATAGAAAGTCAATAAATTAATTTTCAATTGAAGATATTCCACATAAAGCCACCAATAGTCGCAATTACCCCCAATATGGGGTAAATATAGCTTATCATCCGTATGTTTTTGTTGTTGTATCTATAATTCTCAAACTAACAGTAAACGTAAACGTCTGGTCCAATTTAATCTAATTTTGTACTTTTGTACTGCTGTGTATTAGAGTTAATTTTCTTTAAAACTATTAACGTAACATCAGCAGTAAATACATCTTTTCCAATTTAAATTAGTGTTGGGGCATGTGGTTCGATAACATTCCATAACCATAGAATACGAGTAGAAACTAATATTATAAGGTACTACCACAAATTAATCAATTAATCTCATATAAAAATGTTAAATATTAAATATCACCATAGGAGCTACAATTACCCCACTCACATTTTTTTTAGGGGCAAACGTAGCCATCTCAAAAAACATGACTTTAATAAGCGAAGGAAGAAATAATTTCAAAAAAAATGACACCGTTAATCATTTCATGACACAATGTAAAAGTCTTATAATATTGTTATAAAAAAGTTTTTGGATTTTTTTTTGACTGCGGTCTAGTAGATCTAATCTGTGAATAAATGGCGGAATAATATACGACTCTTAAAATAAAACAGTTTACGTGCTAAAAGCGAAATCTATTTAAATTTAGGTTAATAAAGGCTCTTATACAGGGCCACAGATGTAATTTATTTTAAAAACGAAACATTAACAAGTTACTTGAAACAGCTACATTTGCCCCCTGGCTACAATTGCCCCGGGTGACCTTACTGCTATATCTTACCTCACTACTTGGGTAAAGTCTATAATGTAAATGTGTGGTGCAAGGAGGTCGAATCGCGCACACCACGTCTAGTAAATGCAGAGGGATTTTCTCGGAATAGGCGATGGTAACATCCAGGATCCATTCCACACTATCACCTATCTTGTAATCGATGATCTTATTGGCGAAGCTTTGGTTGAAATTTCCGTCTGGAACAATTCATAGCAAATTACTATTTATATCTAACAATTACTAATTTTATGCAATACTTCAGGAAAATAAAAGTCCATACCTTTTTATTATTAAAAAAGATATTGATGTAAGCTCAAAGCGAAATCATATCATCATCATAAAACAATTAGTTTGATTCGGGCATGATTCTTTCCACTTAACAATTAATTTTGACATCATCTCTACGTTTCATTTTCTATTATTAATGAACTGCTGTCAAATTAAAATTTAGGTTTCGTGAATCATACCAGAATCAGGCCCAATAGGTGATTAAATTTACCTTTATGCGATATATCTTTGGATGTACTACCGACTGAGCTCTTTTGTGGTCCAATCTCTTCCATGATGACCTTCATGGCGCCAGCGCGTGGAAGCGACACGTTCTCCAACTTTGGAAGATTATTCTTCTCTGCAAACCTGCGAATAGAAAAGGATTTGTTTCACGGTCGCACTCAGTGTCAATTGACTTTTAGTTTGATTACAGTTGATATTATTTTCTTGGTTTTTACAATAATAAGAATATTATGATTTTTTTTTTAAGCATTTAACTGCTAGATGTTTAAATCTAAAGAAAAGTTTACTAGAAAAAGAAAAGAAGAAAAGAATATTTATAATGAAAGTAATGTCGACATCGTAACCGAAGCTGTCTATGTCACTGATATGTTTCACTGACGCACTAAATAACCTACCTAAGTTACTAATTTCAGTTCGTAAGGTTTACGATTTCTCTAATTTCTGTTTGCTTGTTTAATTTTATTCTGTTATGCTTGAAATTTTTACTTTAAATGATGATTATATATAAATCAAACTTGAAATTATCCCTTAAGTATTATTCAATATTCTTAACCTTTTCGTTTCAATATTTTTATTTTTATAATTAAAAATGATTTTAATTTTTAATTCCTCATTTCCATCACCCGATTCTGACTCGCTGAAACGTGAATCTAAAATGCCTATTAACTATTGTTTGTTACTATTATATTCTGTTGCAAATTTACAAGTGAATGAATTGATTATCGCCAACTGAGCTATTTGTTGTATGATCAAAGTACTGTGGATATTTTTTCTGTTATTTCGCACAACTTCTTATTTTTTTTTGTCGTTTTGATGAACAAACAAAAACAATGATTTGTATGTTAATTATTTATGTGTATGTTTTATTAGAAATTAACAATTATTTGAGCAATTCTTTAAAGTTCGTTACTACGTATCTAATTTTCGTCACGTCTAAATGTATATCTCTTCGGATTTATACCAAAACCAAATAGTAAAAAGAAGTACCAAATTATAAAGTTTAACGTGTTTTTCAAAATTTGTCGGTACAAATAATTTAAAGAAAATTAATAATTGTGACAGATTTGATGACCGATAAGAGATAAGAGAGATTTTCCTTTTGAGGTACCGAACCCTTAAAATCAAAACAGTTACCATAAAAACGTTTAGCGTAAATGTCTGCTAGTTTCAGCTTCATGTAGTTTTGCACAACTTTGAAACAAAATTATTGACGTGTTAATAGTTTGTGTGATGACATGTCAAATAAACCAAGTTTAGAAATCTTTTTTGGTTTCTGTCTTGACATTCTGGGCTACCTACAATGCGAAGAGATGGCGCTGCCTTGCAGCTTAAGAACGGCTAGAAGAATTTCGACGCGGCCATCACGGCCGCAGTAGCATAATTGGTCAGTGCATTCGCCCTGATAGCGAAGGGTGCGGGTTCAAGTCCCGTCTGCTGCCTGGTCCGCGTGGGATTTTTTCTAGTTATATTTAATGATATTAATATTATAACAAAATTACATTCGCCGTTCAATACTTTAAACTGAAGCATGAAATACCTATCTGAGTGTGAGCCTAATCCGCAAACATAATATTTATCGGTACCCGTCCACAATCCACCTAGAATATATCAAACATCTAAAAGCTATCCGGACCTCAAGTTAGAATTCCAAGAGATACTTCGAATTCAAATTCAATCAACACTTATTATGTAGATCTAGATCCTGCAATATATACGTATAGAGACGTATTCCCTTAATTCACAAAGTACTTTAGCATCCTAATTCACTGTTGGAATACAATTATTTGTGTGTCTTACACAACATATTATTTGCTACTATTAATATATTACTTTCCCAGACAAGCGCTGTTATTTATATAATTCAAGTAATTCTAAAATACCAACATTCTAAATAGAATAGGGAGAAAGTTTTGCTTGATATTCGGATTGGGTTTGTAGAATTGTAAGTCTGGCTTATATTTGTATTTAAATTATTACCTTTGACTAACTTCTCTCCTCTTGTGTAAAAAACCACCTTCAGGAAATAGCACCATGAACTGGCGGCCAAGTGGCACGTAGAATTTGTGAATATGTTGTCTGAGGTGTTCTAGTGACTGGTCACGGTTCGCCTTGCCCTGTAGAAACGAAGAAAAGATAAATTGATTGATATTAATTTACTAATAACAAAAGTTCTTAAAACTAATCGATGGTTGAACATTTTTTTTACTTTTAAAAACTCGAATACGTAAATTGAGATAAGTATATAAAATATAAACAGCCAAGTGCAAATCGCTACGACTTCATTGCTCCTTAATTTTTATTGCTTTTGTTTTTATATAGTCGACTACTTCTTACTTTTCAGTAGCCTGAGCATCGTCAGGTAAATATTGGTAACTAACCAGCATAAGAAATCAGAAATCAATATATCTTTATTCAAATTGGATGTATAATACAACTCTTTTGAATCGTCCAAAAATTTTTTTTCCCTACCACTCGTTATAGACATATTTTTTAGCTGCGGAGAAAAACGAGCGAAAAAAACTCCACAACATTAAAAGTCTAATGTAACAACATTTACAAATCATTATGTTGTTACAACGTCAATACAATTATGATTTATTTAATATAGAAAACCTGTTGGAATGATTGGAACAGTTCAAACCCAAGCATTTTTGTCTGTAATATAATCAGACACTTTGTAATAAACTTTTTAATAAGTGTTTTTTTTATAATATCTGTTCATGCCAACCTTAGGCATTCATAGTTCATAGATTTAACTTTTCATTTTCTACCCACTTTTAGTTTATAAGAGTTACCGCTCGATATATCGCTGCATTCTACAGTCTACGAATTGACGGCGACTCAACCAGATGCGTACTCGCTAATCCTGGTTTTCCCGCTTTCTGGAACTTTCTATATTCGAAAGACTGCTATTCTTAGGGTTTATACTCTTTATGAACCTACCGCTCGTGCTGTGAACATAGTGCTGTGTTTTTCAGTGCTTAAAACATACGCTGTTGTGAAGTGAACGCTTAATTATCCGCTGTCTTGGCTGATATTAGCCGAGGCTGGTCCTTCATTATCTCGCTAAATCGTCGTGGGCTGTTGAGGCTGAGGAAGAAGTCTGCAGTGACATTACCCGGGTAGTGCCGGGTCAGTGCGGTTGCTGAAGGTGAGTTGCTGTTTTACTTTCGTGGTAGTAGTGTGCAGCGATTCCCGTAGGATATCTATCTCCTCTTCAACAGATAAGTAAACTTATACTACCTATGGTGATACCCAAATTAGTGCTGGGTAGAATCTACGAACCTTATTGCTAGGTTTAGCGCCCACATAATTTTTGGCCTTCGAGCCGCATTCATTGAACCCATTTTATAAATTTATACTATCGCGTACGCTTCAAATAACGTATTTTGGTATTTTATAATTAAATAGGGATAATATTTACATATTTCTTTATATACTTTATATCTTATAACATAAAAGGTAGATTGTAAATTTATTACTACGCCACCGAACGTGATTCTTGCTTCTATCGTTGTGCTCTGTTGCGGACAGTTCCTAAATTGGCCGTTTACTCTTTTGCCTAATTTTATTTCAATTATATTTTATAATGCCTCCTGGTAGTGCTAGTGGTTTAAAAGGAAATGACAAGTTGGAAATTGACTTAAAAAATATAACGCAAAGCGTAACAATTTGTTTTCCCGCTTACAAAAAATTTATAGTGAGGCTAAGCACGCATTTTCTGATGAATCATCTACGGAAATATTTCTTGCTAGTTGTGAGTCTTTAGAAAATTTACGTTCAGATTTTAGGGAAATTACTGATCAAATTATTGATATTGAACTTCAATTAAAGCCTGATTCTGAACCTAATTATCAGAGCGTTAATGCATTTGACGAGCTTTATTGCTTCTGTAAGCGCACTTTAACTAAGTTGTCTGTTTCGGCGGCAACAACAATCAAGTCAGATACTTTGGATGCAAAAAATACTTGCTATAAAAGTCCAACTGTAAAATTGCCAAAACTGGATTTGATAGGATTTTCAGGTGACCCCATTAAATGGCCTATGTTCTACGAATCATTTAAAAATACGATTCACGATAACTCTGATTTATCTGACCATGAACGTATGCAATATTTGATTAGTAAGTTGTCTGGCCGGGCACTTTCAGTTTGTGCGGGAATCACACCGAACGCTACTAACTACAACATAATATGGCGGACGCTAGTCGACAAATATGAAGACAAACGATGTCTCGCCTCCGCGTATTTAGATGAAATGCTTACTTTTAAATGTTTTAATTCCGCAAGCGCTAAACATTTTGAATTATTTTTAGAAAAATTTTGCGGTGCTGTTTCCAGTCTTAAATCTCTGAATTTAAATAACTTATCAGATTTTATTTTATTTTACCTTGCATTTAAAAAACTTGATACGGACACGGCTCGTCAATTTGAAATGCATAAACGTGACTCTTCTTTTCCTTCATACGATGATTTGGTTGCCTTTGTACGCGAACAATGTAAGGTACTAGATCGCACTACTCCCATAAATCCCGCTACAACTAAACAGAATTCGTATCAGATTCGTAATAAGCCCACCCACGCATTAGTAGCCGCTACTCATACTGATATGCAAAATAAGTATTATACCCAATGTGCCTTTTGTAAACATAATTCTCACAATAAATTATTTCTTTGTACGGCATTTAAAAATTTATCAATAGAAGACCGCTATAACTATATTAAATCTAACAATGGATGTACCAATTGTTTAAGCTTATCTCATTTAATTTCAAAGTGTAATTCAATTAGTCGTTGTCGAAATTGTGCATCAAAACATCACACGCTGCTATGCTATAAAGGAGCCCCGTTCGGCGGTGCGCCGTCGCACCACGCGCGGCCGCAGCTGGCCCCGCGCGCTGGCATTAATCATGATGGCGGCTCCCGTGAACGCACGCGCGCCTCCGCCGCTACTCCTTGCACGTCTGAGACCGTGCGCCAGTTACCTGTCGCTGAGCGAGATAACGCAAACTCACAAAATATTTCCTTGTGTAATATGTCGCCGCCGCTTTGTAAGAATGATACTACTTGTTTACTCGGTACAGTCAAGGCATTCGCGGCGGATTCACGCGGCAATTTAAATTGCGTTCGTGCAATTGTTGATCCTGGTTCTCAGTCAAACTTCATAACTACAAAATGTTGTCATACCTTAAATCTGCCTTTTAATAAATTACCGCGTGCTGTGGTCAAAGGCATTGGCTCGTCTCCTAATCCAATTAAGGGGGCAACCAAAGTAGTTTTATATTCTCGTTTTGATAACATATCAATATCGTTAGATGTGTGTGTTATTGACCGCATTACAGATGATTTACCCACTGTTAATATTGATAAAACTTTATTTTCTTATTTACAAAATATTCGTCTCGCTGATGATGAGTTTCATTCTCCCGGTGAGATTGATATTCTCATAGGGGCCTCGTTCTTTGCCGATATTTTACTTCATGGTCGTGTAACCGGACCACCGGACATGCCTACCGCTTTCGATACAATATTTGGTTATATGATTTTAGGTAACACTTACACACTATCTACCGCTCATAATAATTCTATTTCTTTAACAGCTATGATACAACTTGATTCTCATTTAGATACAACCTTACAAAAGTTTTGGCAGCTCGAACAGATATTGCCTTGTCAATCCATGTTGAGTCCAGCTGAAAAAGAGTGCGAAACTATTTTTGTTAATAATACTGTGCGCGATAGTACAGGCCGCTATACAGTCGCGTTACCTTTCGCGGATGATCCTTCCACCTTGGGTGATTCATATCGTATCGCTAAAAATAGATTTCTTTCACTGGAACGCAAGCTTAATGCTTGTGTTGAACTACGCCAAGAATATAACAATATTATACGCGAATATATTGATAAAAAATATATTACTCGCTTGAACGATCCTGCTGATCATTCAGGTTATTTTATACCGCATCATGCTGTCGTACGACATGATAAAACGACCACAAAAATACGCATGGTGATGGACGCAAGCGCGAAAACAGACTCGAATGTCTCGTTGAATGAAGTTTTGCATTCCGGATTTAACTTACAGAATAACTTATTGTCTATATTAATTGATTTTCGTTTATATAAAATAGCTTTTACTTCAGACATAAAACAAATGTATTTGCAGATTTTAGTTAGTGAAAATTATCGTAAATATATGAAGTTTTTGTATAGATTTGATTCAAGTGATCCTATAGATACATACTATTTTAACCGCGTTTGTTTCGGATTAAGCTGTAGCCCTTACCTCGCAATGCGCGTAGTAAGACAATTATGCGAGGATGAACGCGCCTCTTACCCGCTTGCGGCTCAAGTCGCCACTAGCAATTGTTATATGGATGATATTTGTTATTCCATGCCATCCATCCGGGACTCCTTACGCCTCAGAGATGAGTTGTTAGGTATGTTCACGGTTGGGGGTTTCGACCTAGTAAAGTGGTCCAGCAATTCGCCTGAATTGCTCGACTCACTGCAGTGCACGCACAGGTACTCAGCGGACGTCCCATTCAATGACTCGGACGATTTGAAGGTACTAGGTGTGAGGTGGTCGCCAGCTAGCGATAATTTTAAAATTCATGTTTCCCTTACTCATCGTCCATGCACTAAACGAAATATTCTTTCGGTTATTGCTCGCCAATTCGACGTGCTGGGTGTTATAGCACCGGTGATTTTATTTGCAAAACTTATTCTTCAGAAACTGTTTATCTTAAAAATTGATTGGGATGAACAACCGCCTCCTGATATTTTAAAATTATGGTCAAAATACATTACAGAGCTGCCTTGCCTAGAACAACTACGTATTCCCCGTCATCTTGAAATTTATGAAAATTCAAATATTTCAATAGTCGCCTTTGCTGATGCCAGCGAGAGGGCTTATGGTTCTGTGGTATATATTCGTTCTGTATCCGCTCCAAATACATTTCCTACTGTCAGACTTGTATGTGCCAAATCGAAAGTGGCACCACTGCTTGTTCAGTCTGTCGCAAGACTTGAACTTTGTGCAATCCTTTTGATGTCGAAGCTAGTTCGACATGTTATAAACATAATAGAATCACGCCATAAAATCAATAAAGTTT